TCCTGATCCTGTTCCTGATCCTGTTCTTGTTCCTGATCCTGTTCCTGTTCCTGTTCCTGATCCTGTTCTTGTTCCTGATCTTGTTCCTGATCCTGTTCCTGATCCTGTTCCTGATCCTGTTCCTGATCTTGTTCCTGATCCTGTTCCTGATCCTGTTCCTGATCCTGTTCCTGATCCTGTTCCTGATCCTGTTCCTGTTCTTGTTCCTGATCCTGTTCCTGATCCGTTGTTCCGATCTTGTTCCTGATCCTTGATCCTGTCCCGGACCCTTGTTCCTGCTCTTGTTCCTGATCCTGTTCCTGATCTTGTTCCTGATCCTGTTCCTGATCCTGTTCCTGATCTCCGTCCAACATTCAGTCAACACTGCAACAATTTCCGAGAATATATTGTACTTCTGGTTAAGTAACAATATATTGTACTTATTTTTGAGTAAATAGAAATGACTTTCAAAGTTTGGCGCTCATTTTAATCACTCGCTTATTTGAATAGAGCCAAATTTTCTATTTGTTTGTTTTATTTGGAAATTTTCCGCATTATCACTTGAAATTGAGCATTTTGGAGAGTGAATTTGGCTTCAAACGCCATCGACAAACAAAGGAAATGCAAATTTCAGAGAAAGTTTAATGGCTGAGAGGCTGAGATTAGATAAGGCAAAGGATTCGACTTCTGAACACTTCTAGAACTTCTAGAACTTCTAGAACTTCTTTTTACTTTCAAATTCAAAGCTCCTCTGTGTTACTATTGGTTTTGATTCTGGGAAAAACGATTTTTGTGTTTTTTTCCGTTATTGAGTCACGATAATTCCCTTTTTTGTCAATAGAAAACCTTTTGAATTCGTTTTTTAAAATTTCCCTTTGTGAACAGTGATCAAAAGATTTTGTGTATAAAATAGGTTTTGCTGAAAAAAAAATTGACTTTTAGTGATTCTCTGGTCGTAGATTTGGTGATTTTCTTGTTGTTCTTTAGCAGAATTGCCTTTGCAATGGACTTTGTGCTCAAGAATGCAAATGCATCCCTTTCTAGCGCACTGAAATCTCTTGCAACAATGCTTGGCTTTACGGGAAAATGACCGTGGAACTAGTGCGTCAGAGTGCGTCAAAGTGCGTCAGAGTGCGTCAGGAGTGCGTCAGAGTGCGTCAGAGTGAGTCAGAGTGCGTCAGAGTGTGTCAGGAGTGCGTCAGAGTGCGTCAGAATGCGTCAGAGTGCGTCAGAGTGCGTCAGGAGTGCGTCAGAGTGAGTCAGAGTGAGTCAGAGTGCGTCAGAGTGCGTCAAAGTGCGTCAAAGTGCGTCAGAGTGCGTCAGAGAGGGTCAGCGTGAGTCAGGAGTGAGTCAGAGTGCGTCAAAGTGCGTCAAAGTGCGTCAGGAGTGCGTCAGAGTGCGTCAGAGTGCGTCCGGAAGTCAGAGTGCGTCAGGAGTGCGTCAGGGGGGGTAGAGAGTGCGTCAGAGTGCGTCAAAGTGCGTCAAAGTGCGTCAGAGTGCGTCAGGAGTGCGTCAGGAGTGCGTCAGAGTGAGTCAGAGTGCGTCAGAGTGCGTTAGGAGTGCGTTTAGATTACCCGAACACAAAGTACACCAAAGAGCAATTCTAGCGTAACTTTTGAACCATCTGGTCTTTGCTTTTTTGGTTCCAATTACAGTGAACAGATTAGCCATCGATTTGGCTTGATTGGTTTGATTGGTTTGATTGGTTTGATTGACTTGTTTGGCTTGTTTGGCTTTATTGGCTTGATTGGTTTGATTGGCTTGATTAGCTTGATTGACTTGATTGGCTTTATTGGCTTAATTGGCTTGATTGGTTTGATTGGTTTGATTGGCTTGATTGGCTTGATTGGCCTTTTCGAGATTTCCATGCTAAAATTTCATTGATTATTGATTTCATTGAATATTAATTGATAATATTTAAAGATTTCCTTTAAAGCCTACAACATTTATTGTTGTTCCTTGTTTGATGGTGTAAATAAACTCACAAAAGTAGAGCACTATCACCAAAAACACTGTTGTCCCCATCTAAATCAGAAAATTGGTTTCTTTTGGGCTTCTTTTATTAGGTTGTTCGGATATAATTTTTTGTTCACAGATGTTCACAGATGAGAAGATTTTCACAGTCCAATGGGCTCACAATAGCCAAAATCATCCTTAATATTGTTTAAATTCCCGAAATGTTTCTCGAAATTTAGTAGAGCCAATTTTCCAACTTTGAGTTTAATTCCGGGTTTTTTTTTATCCAAAAATTTCAATCGCAAACTTTCCCTTTCGCAGACTGCAAACGCAGACTGCTTTCCCGAAAACAGTTCCTCTCAAGATCGAACTTTTAACGAAAATCGGGAAAAGAGACCAAAATAAGAGTTTTCAAATATATTGGGAAGAGAAATTGGTTATTTCTCACGGCTTTTTGAGTCTTTTTGCATTGGAGTGATTGGTGTGCGGTGGTTGGGTGACAGCCGTTCAATCAACAACCCTTCCCCTCCACATCTCTCAATCTACTCACAAATATTTTGAGATATTCTCAGATCCCCAAATTTTTCCCAGCTCTTTGACCTGGTTAGAAAAAGCTTTCAAAAGCTAAAAGCTTTCAAAAGCTAAAAGCTTTCAAAGCTAAATGCTTTCAAAAGCTAAATGCTTTCAAAAGCTTAAAGCTTCTTGCTTTTCTTTGAACAAGAGCTTCTTTCTTGTTAAATTGTTTACAAAACTACTTGTAGACAAAATATTTGTGCGTTAAAGTCCCGAAATTTTTTGTTATTCTGTTGTTTTGGCTTCTAAACTTTTCCAGAAATAGATTTTCTTACTTTTTTTATTTTATTACCCTATTCCCAAAAATCCTAGTCAACAACAGTCTCTTAAACAATCCGTTTTCTAAACCGTAACTTTTTCTACCGTAATCTGTCTAATTTCTATTCAATCTATCCACTTTTTCGATTTTTTAAATATTCTTTGTAAATTTTTACAAAATCAGACAAAAAGTAGATAGATTAGATAAAAAATAGACAAAAATATAAAAATAGACAGAAATAGACAAAAAATATACCGTATTTCTTCGAATAGAAGACCGGGTAAGAGTATCGTCGCGTACTCCTGCGTAGCAGCCCTTTTTAAAATTTCTTTTCTGCATAAAAGCTTTCAATCAAGTGCTATAGAGCTGGAAAATGGCTCAAAAATCTGTTAGCTCATGTGGTATTTTTGAGCCACTTTCCACCTCTATAGCACTTCATTGAAAGCTTTTATGCAGAAAAGAAATTTTAACAAAGGGCTGCTACGCAGAAGTACGCGATGATACTCTTTACCCGGTCTTCTATTCGAAGAAATACGGTATAAAAATAGACATAAAAATATAAAAACAGGCAGAAAGATATAAAAACAGACAGAAAAATAGACAAGATTACGGTAAAAAGAAGGAAAACGTTTCAGAAAACGAAAAAAATCATTTGAAAAAGAACACAAACCAATCGAGTTGGTTTGTGTTCGGATTTGGTTCCTTTTCGGCACAGATTTGATTCCTTTTCGGTACGGATTTGATTCCTTTTCGGCACAGATTTGGGGGGTGGGACAAACGCGACCTTTTTTTGCGCACCTTTTTTTTTGCTGGAAAAGGCCTTAGGAAAGGTCGTAGAGCTTCAAAAATGTTTTCATAGAAGGGAATCGTATGCGTAGATTCCGAATTTCGACAAATCAGACCTCGCTGACACGTCAAATTTGGGCTAAAAGGCAAAAACTACGCAACTTAACGCTTTTCCGCAGTTTTTGCCTTTTAGCCCAAATTTGACGTGTCAGCGAGGTCTGATTTGTCGAAATTCGGAATCTACGCATACGATTCCCTTATATGGAAATATTTTCGAGGCTCTACGGCCTTGCCTAAGGGCTTTTCCAGCAAAAAAAGGTGCCCAAATGTCCAAGTGCGCAAAAAAAAGGTCGCGTTTGTCCCACCCCCAAAAATTCATTTGAAAAGAACACAAACCACTCCAGTTGGTTTGTGTTCAGATTTGGTTCCTTTTCGGTACAGATTTGGTTCCTTTGAGGTTCAAAAACTTTCAAAAGCAACGTATTTCGTAAATATAAAACTCTTGTATTTTGCTCATCTTTCAGCATTAACCCGGCCATCCTGGGATAGCCTTTCTCCCGACAAAAACGAAAACTTTTTGTTGAACTCATTGATTAATTGGTCTGTCTTTCGCGAGAGGCCAATCATTCACAATCCAACACTTGTCTGGCCTCTAGACAAGCTTTTTGATCAAACAATTCCTAAAAAAGGCATTGTTTGATCAATTCAAGAAGTACCACTTATCCAGCTACGATAAATAGTACAAAAATACGACCAAAATAGGGCTAAGAATTGATAGAATTCAGGAAGAATGCCACAATAACCACTTACCCAGCTTTCCCTTTGTGTCGTTGCTTTGATCAATGTGTTGTTGATTTCAATGCGTATCCTTTCAGCCTTGTTTTTGTTATCCCCGGTCGAGTGGGGCTGATCTAATACGGTTCCAATACGGTTCCTATTTTGATCTAATACGGTTCCAATATGGTTCCAATACGCTTCCTATTTTGATCTAATACAGTTCCAATACGGTTCCTATTTTGATCTAATACGGTTCAAATACGGTTCCAATACGCTTCCTATATCGATCTAATACGATTCCAATACGGTTCCTTTTTTGATCCAATACGGTTCCAATACGGTTCCTCTTTTGATCCAATACGGTTCCAATACGGTTCCTTTTTTGATCCAATACGGTTCCAATACGGTTCCAATTCGCGTCTTTTTTTGATCCAATACGGTTCCAATACGGTTCCAGTACGGTTCCAATACGGTTCCTTTTTTGATCCAATACGGTTCCAATACGCTTCCTATTTCGATCTAATACGGTTCCAATACGGTTCCAATTTTAAATTCTTGATTTCCGGGCGACACCCGTCTCTCGTAATCCTGGTTCGAGTCCTTTTAGTCTCCTTTCTGAAAAAGTGCCATAGTTTTGTTTATTTTCAAAGAATAATTTCAATTTTAGCTGATGATCTTACGGATATTACACCTGTTGAGCTTTCTCTCAATAGTTTGCGCTTTACATGTACAGGTAAAACCTTCAACTTATCAAGTTGCTACAATTCATCAAATTTAAGCGAAATGACAAGCGAACATTCGACGATTTAAGCGGCTTGTGGACTTTTGTACGCGAAACGACAAACACTGGTGATATCGGCATTGAGAATAAATGGTTCGAGAAAGATTTGAGAGAGTTCAAGGTTTGGATGAGCATTTCTTACGTTTAGCTTCAGAGGGTTGAAGCTCTGAGGTTGAAGCTTCGTTTAGCTTCAACCTCAGAGATCAGAGATCAAGGTCAGAGATCAAGGACAATTTTTAGAATCATACAGTGATGCCGGTGCCCTGTGCCTACAATGATATGGCTGCAGATGCGGAGTTGAGAGATCACGTCGGATGGGTTTGGTATCAGAGAAACGAGATCATCTCACAGGTGGGTGAATAGATAGATTCAGCTAAATGAAGAGCTACTACGGTACCTTATTTCCTAATCTACAAATCGAAAAACCCGTTTAACAACGGGTTTTTTCTGGCTAGAAAGCTTTTGTCGCCGTAGAGCAGCCGTAGAGCGCTTGTCTACGGACCAAACGGCCCGGGTTCGACCCCCCGTAGTGCCATTCTATGTCGATTTTTTTTATTTTTTATTTTAAATAGTATAACTACATTAGATTTTGAAACTTTTTAAATAATTTTAGCTTTTTTGGCCTAAAGGAGGCTGAGAAAAAAGCCCGTACAGATGGGCTTTTTTTCACATTTCCTGATGTTGTTGATTTCAATTGAGAGATTGCCGATTCAAGTCATTTGAAGAAGTTGAAGAAGCTTGCCAAGAGTTCTTTGATTTGAAACTGAAAGAGTAATACTTCTATCAGATCTGAAAGCTAGCAAATCGATGGCAGATCGATGGCAGAAAGTCGATAATGATGAGAAATAATTATTATTATTTTTCTTATTAAAGTGCGCATAAAAATTGAAATCTCCGCAGCCAAGTCAGGAATTTTTCGTCAACCGATGAACATCAATGCTCTAGATCAATGCTCTAGATCAATGCTCTAGATCAATGCTCTAGATCAATGCTCTAGATGAATGCTCTAGATGAATGCTCTAGATCAATGCTCTAGATCAATGCTCTAGATCAATGCTCTAGATCAATGCTCTTTTAGAAAATCTTTCAATTCAATGACTCTTTCAATTCAATCACTTTTTACAGAGAGACAACGACTTTCGATTGTTCCTCCGTTTCGAGTCAGCTCAATATTTCGCGGTTGTGGTCAGTAAAAAGATCGATAACTGGAATTGAGAACAAATTTCAGTACTTCAACGGAAAAGAAGTTGGTCGACACGTTGGTGGACATCTACCCTTTCAATTCGAGGTCACAAAACAGGTTTAAAATCATTTTTTTTTAAAAAGCTATTCAAGGATATGTAAAGGTGAAATTCGGTGCGAAAAACGTGATCACAGTTGCGGTGAATAACACGCTCTCGTGGGCGACAATTCCACAAGCTGATTTCAACTATATGGGGAATTTAGAGCGAAACACGAGCCGATTTGAAGTAAGTTTTGAAAAAAAAAAGCAGGTACTTGTCGGTTAAACATCCGCAGAGACTCAACTCGGTTAAGCAAGGAGCTGACAACTTGTGAGGGGTGATTATGTTCATTGAAGTAGAGTGCTCGCCTGAAGTGACCAGTCGATCACTTCAGGCTTCAGTCGAACGAAAATCGATAACCGAGAAGACTCGGATGGGGATGCTTAACTGAAATGAGTCTTTGTGAATGTATTGGGTTGATGCATAATTATCCGGACTTCTTTTTTGCGTGCTTGTATCTTTTTTGTTTTGAAAGCTTTTTGTCTATTTCTTTTTTTTAAATATTCGTTATTCTTTAGTGAACAAAATGCGTGTCGACAATCATATCCATCTTCGCCATATCATGCTCTACCACTTCGAAAAGGGATGGTCTGCCGCAGAGTCGTTTCGCGATCTCAAAGAACTGGAGAAGCCCCAACGGACTACCACGTCAATCGATCGCTCAAAAATTGGCAAACAAATAAGATCTACAACGATTTGGATGACTTGATAGACGATGTTAAAGCGTGGATTGCCTCCAAAGATCGTTTATTCTTCGCTCGTGGAATCGATCGTCTTCCAAGCAAATGGCAATCAGTTATTGATGTAGGCGGTGAATATGCTCCAGAATAATCAATTAAACATATTTTTCTAACTATTTATGTTATTTTTTGTTAAATAAAATCATTTATAAAAGAAGTCCGGATAATTATGCATCAACCCAATATTAGGGTGGTGCAAAATAAAATGCCGATTTGACGCTAAATTCAACTTACTTTTTGCACGAGAAAAACGATTTTTGATGAGATAAAGCTAGCAGAAATGAGCAATACGCTTTATAATCTCTATTCTTGGCCAAGAAATTTTTTTACAGAGAAGCTGTATTTCAAAAAAAATCATTTTTTTCGTGTCATCTTCTTGGCACTGTGTATTTGCTGTAAATAGATGATTCTGAAAAGTTAAAAGCATTAGATCAAATTTGACTTAATCGCATCTTTTCCCTATTTTAAGTACTTGATTTTAGGTTTTGAATGGGGCCGATTGCCGAGCCGCCCCTTTGCCATTGGCAATCCAACTTTGAGCTCAAATATCTTGGTGTTGGGCTATCCAATTTAAATAGTTTTTATACCAATCGATAGAGAAAGACTTGGTGCATCTAATGATACCAAGAATATTTAAATTGCGCTCCCAACACCAAGATATTTGAGTTCAAAGTTAGATCGCCAATGGCAGAAGGGGCGGGGCGTGTCCAATAAGGTTGGATTTGGATCAAATGTCCAATAAGGTTTTGAATGGGGCCGATTGCCTATTCATTAACCAATTCAAAACTTGTCTAAAGGCCGGTCACTTAAAAAGGGATCAAGTCACTTCAGCTGAAGAAATCTTTTATTTTTTGCCTAAAGCCTAGTCTGATTTTTTTTTCTCTGTTCTGTTCTGATCTGAAAACCTTGAAATCTAGTCAAGTTTATCAAGAAATCTGGGAGGAATTTATGGGTTGTTTTTTGAGAAATCACCGTGCAAACGTGCAAACTAAATTTTCAACTTTTCAACCTAATAAAAAGTGAATAGATTTGATAAAAGATGACGGTAGAAAGAGAAAGAGAAACGGATTAGTTAGTTAGATTAGTTAGATTAACGGAAACGGACAAGTCTAGCACTAGGAATGTTCTAGGGTCTGAAAGTTGGATAAAACTAGGCAAAGCCAGAGCTTGCTTCAGGCCGAGAGCCGGCTTTAGTCCTTGGCCTGACTCGGAAATGCATTTAGTCCATTACAATTCAAACTTTCTTTCCAATCTAATAAAATACAAAAAGGTATAAGGAATAGATAAAGTACAGGGTGCGTCAAAATTATTGCAACAAGATACTCAAGGCATTGCACACCAAGAAGTTTCACTGGAAGAAGATTTTTAAACAGAAATAGCTTTATTTAACAGTAACAAATAAGGAAACAAGAGATCATTCGATATGACCGCCTTTTGCCTTGATAACAGCCCTTAATCGGTTCGGATATGCCTCCACTGCGGCCCGAATGTCATCTTGAGGACTCCTCATCCTTTGGCTTTCCATCCTTTGGTCAAAGACTTCTTCAAAGAATCCAAACTCGTGTGTTTTCGAGAGCAGACATTAGCCTCTAAGATTGCCCAAATGGAAAAGTCCATCACATTGAGATCCGGTGAGTTTGAAGGCCATTCATCCTTGGTGATCACTGAGGGAAAGTTGGCCACACACCAGTCCTGAACCGTCTTCTTCGTGTGAGCGGGAGCTCCATCTTGCATGAAGGTCCAATTTTGATTGTTATTGACTTTACAAGCCCATGACATCACATTCTTGACATCACAAACGGTCTTTGAACTCTTGTTGCAATAATTATGACGCACCCTGTAGTCCTTGACCTGACTCGGAAATGCATTTAGTAATATCCATTACAATCCAAACTTTCTTTCTAACCTAATAAAATAAAAAAAAAGGTATAAGGAATAGATAAAATAGAGTTCGCAAAACTTTTTGTAGTACCAAATGTACCAAATGCTTAAGTTGATCTCGCGCTATCCACCGGGTTTCTTCAAAATGGTCGGCCTATTCGATTTCTTTAACTACGCGGGATTGCTGAGAACGGTGTACATTGTGAAAAAGCCAAAAATCTTCATCGACGATATCACGATCAATGCGGAACATCTCGGTAAGTGCACTAGAAAAGCTGCGTTTACAAGGACAAGGCTACAAAACGCTACAAAACGCTACAAAACGCTATAAAAGCTGTTCAGGATCTTTCAAATGGGATGTGACTTCTGATGGGTATCAACTCAAGCAGCAATGCATCGTTTATCTCTATGATCCCGATGGGAAAGAGGTAATATCAATATCAAGCTATAGTAGTCTACCTGGTTAAGGTAGTCTAACAGGCGACGAGTTACGGTAGTCTAACAGGCTACGAGTTACGGTAGTCTAACAGGAAACGTGTTACGGTAGGTACTATAAGTCCCTTGACCCTTACAGTATCCCAAACAAATCATAAACAAAAATAAAAGCGAATATAGAAGCTCTAGTATCTTTACGGGTGTTCGCAGCCTTACTTAAAGCTAGCTTTCAGGTTCTACAAGAGCAAAATTGCACTGGATCATCGCAGGTGTCAAATGTGAGACCTTGGTGGCCTCGAGGAATGGGTGATCCTGATCTCTACACACTTAAAGTGAGGATTAGAACGAGAGTTTACTATTGACAATAGATAGATATTTAGATATTTAGATATCTAGATATTTAGATATCTAGATATTTAGATATTTAGATATTTAGATATTTAGATATTTAGATATCTAGATATTTAGATATCTAGATATTTAGATATCTAGATATTTAGATATCTAGATATCTAGATATTTCGATATTTAGATATTCAAGAGTTGGTCAAATTTCAGGTGGAAATCCGTGCTGCAGATGCCTCACTTGTCGACGTTTACAATGAAGAGTTCGGCTTCCGGACAGTGAAATGGGACAATGAACAGGTTTCTGGAATAAAGAGCAAAATTTATAATTCTCTGTAAATTCTCTGTAAATATAGATTCTCTATAAATATGGATTTGAAAACATTATAGTCCTTTCGGCTAATCATTTTCTAAAAGACATATTTTAGACATTTCTAAAAGATCATAGGTTAAAACTATTAGGTTGGCAAGTTATAAACGATCGTTTTTGGGTAATGTGTTTTCTGAAAAAACGATTTATCCAATCAAAAAACGGTTTGCTTGATTCAAAAGCCCTATCCTTTATCTACAAAATGGGTTTTTTGAATTTTTGATTTGTTTTATTTGAAATGTTTTATTTTAGAATTTTTTCAGGCATTTTAATGTAAGAGTTCAAAATCTTGGTTTCTAGCATTCGATGAGCTAATATATTTTTTGAGTGATTGCATACTTTTTAAAATAAAACGCTTCATCGATTACATAGTTTCCCAAGATTTCAGAACAATCCAATCTTCGGAAGGTTGATTTTCAAATTAGGCTCAGGATTAGGCTTAGGCAAATGCACTTTTGTGCTAGTTTAATCCATTTTCGTTTGAATTTAAGCAAGATTAAAAAAAAAAAGATTAAAAGAAAGAGAACGGTTCGATCGACGGCGAAATTTGACGGCGCTGTTTTTCGTTTTCTTTTCTGTTTTATCTACATCCCAAAATTGTGCTGATCGGATGAAAACTGGCTGATTACGGTAGTTTGCGAAAATAGGTGCCTTTTAGAAAACGGATCAGCTGGTCGCCTTTCATTAGCTCACTTTCAGATCTACATCAATGATCGACCATTCTATTGTATTGGCTTCGGAATGCACGAGGATTTTGAGGTAAACAAAGGGATTGTTTTGTTGCTAACAACAGAAGTTAAGTTGTCAGTTAATTAAGTTGTAAGTTAATTCAGTTGTAAGTTAGTTAAATTGTAAGTTAGTTAAGTTGTAAGTTAGTTAAGTTGTAAGTTAGTTAAATTGTAAGTTAGTTAAGTTGTAAGTTAGTTAAATTGTCAGTTAATTAAGTTGTAAGTTAGTTAAGTTGTCAGTTAATTAAGTTGTAAGTTAATTCAGTTGTCAGTTAGTTAAGTTGTTAGTTAATTAAGTTGTCAGCTAGCTAAGTTGTAAGTTACTTAAGTTGTAAGTTAGTTTAGATTCACGTTTAGCTTTTGCGATTTTAGATTCACGGACGTGGCTACGATGCAGCGGTGATGACAAAAGATATGAATTTGTTCGAATGGATGGGAGGTAGAAGCTCAAATCAGCTCAAATCTATAAACGTAGCCCTTCTGGCGCACTGAATCCTTTACTTTTCTCAAAGCAATTGTTCAATGTTGAAAGAAAAATAGGAAATTCAGTGCACCAGAGCCTTTCCTTTGCAATTTTACGAACCCAAAGTACACCAAAAGTACACCAAAAGTACACCAAATTACAGTAATCCCTCAAAACTTTAATTCTAACTTTAATCCATGATTTTTATCTTTAGCTAATTGCTACCGTACCTCTCACTATCCGTACGCTGAAGAAAGAATAAAGGAGAGCGATCGACGGGGAATCGCTGTCATTTTAGAGACGCCAGCTGTTGGATTGAAGTTGATACTTAATGCTTATAAAAATTTCGAAATTACAGAGGATTCCCGAAAGCCAATCAACTATTGCACATGCAATTTGTCGAAGAAATGATCAAGAGAGACAAGAATCATCCAGCGGTATGTCTTTCAGTCTTTACAATCGATGTAAGACTGTAAGACTGGCTTTGGAAAGCCACGCACAGCCATTTGACTTTGGAAAGCCACGCACATAGTCTAAACGCATTTCTGGCGCACTCAAACCTTGATTTACTCAATCAGTAATCTAGACTACTGTAAAAACATTAGGAAACGGGATTTGTTGAGCTTTACAATCATTTACAGGTGATCATGTGGAGTATCTCGAACGAGCCGCACACTGAGAAGAAAGAGGCCAGGGCGTATTTCAAGTGAGTTCAGAAATGGAACCAAGCTCCAAAATTGTTTAACACATTCACGACAAAGTCATTTTTGGCTTGGCTTCGGTTTCGGACGACAGCTATGTTGGTTATCGAACATTTGTTATTCTAATGCCTTTTGCCATTGGCAATCTAACTTTGAACTCAAATATCTTGGTGTTGGGGAGTGCAATTTAAATATTCTTGGTATCATTAGATGCGCCAAGTCTTTCTCTATCGATTGGTACAAAAACTATTTGAATTCGACAACCCAACACCAAGAAATTTGAGCTTAAAGTTAGATTGACAATGGCAAAGGGACGAGGCGCGGTTAAGCCCCGCCCCTTTTGCCTGCCCGATAAAAACCTCACCAACTAGTACACTTAAGGAAAAGTTCTAATAGAAACTGAAAACGAGCGTAACTGCTGAACACTTTAGAGCATTGATCGATCAGGCTCACACGCTGGACCCAACTCGCCCGGTCACTATCGTTTATGGGCCCTCAAATTATGATAACGATCAAACGGTGAGCTTTGGATTTACGATAATCGCTAATAGAAAGCCATTTGGATTTGGATCTGGATTTGGATTTGGATTTGGATTTGGATTTCTATTAGATTTGGATTTCTATTAGATTTGGATTTCTATTAGATTTGGATTTCTTTTATTAGAAGAATTACAAAATACAGAATGCAACAAGATTTAAATTCCAAAATCAGGCCGATCTACTCGATGTGATTTGCGTGAATCGCTACTATGGATGGTACATCGATATGGGCTTTTTGGAGAATATAAATCGGTTGAAAGTTGAAATCTTTTTCGCTTTTTGCTTGCTAGCTTGCTTGCTTGCTTGCTTCCTTGCTTGCTTGCTTGCTTGCTTTCTTGCTTGCTAAACTTGCTTGCTTGCTTGCTTGCTTGCTTTCTTGCTTGCTTGCTTGCTTTCTTGCTTGCTTGCTTGCTTGCTTGCTTTCTTGCTTGCTAAACTTGCTTGCTTGCTTGCTTTCTTGCTTGCTTTCTTGCTTGCTAAACTTGCTAAACTTGCTAAACTTGCTAAAAATCGACATTTTCAGCTCCGTTGTCTACGATTTGATGCTGTGGAAAGAGAAATTCGGAAAAGCGATTTTGGTCACAGAGTACGGAGCTGATTCGCTTGATGGTTTAACACAGGTTTCCTTATTCTTTCTTGTTATTGATTTAGCCAGAAAGTCTTGTCTGTTTTTCGAATTGAGACTGTACATAAAGTTTGGAGTGCGACCCGCTTTAACCTTATCAACGAGGATGATTCTGCTTAAGAATGGCCGAATAGCACAAAAGGTTAAAAGGGCTTCCCCCAAAAGCGCTTACAACGCAGCAAGAACACGTAGTATCCAACAATAGATTAATACTCTTGAGAAGAGTACAGATCGGATCGGAATCTACGATAGTCTTTTCGCTCGATCCTCCTCTTGATGATCCCACGCATCTTTCGGGTGTTAACGGTCCTCTTTCGTCCTCTTCCGGGCTTGGACTGAACATGCCCCTCATCTTTCCATTGCTTTACGATCTTCTGGACGGTCCTCAGAGCCACCCCAAGCCTCGATGCGATCGACGAGTTCTTCATGCCGCTCGTCGCCAGCTGTGCGATTGCGTCCCGACTAGCGCACGTCTTTGTCATGACCTAGAAAACAACTTTTTTAACAAAAAATTATTAGACAACGATAAAAAGAATATTAAAACACAAAAAGATGAGTAGTAATGCTTTATACATTGTTTAAAACTATGATACTGATGCTGCGCGCACGTAATTTTCAGCCACCCTGTACTCTTGAGAAGAGTACAGATCGGATTGATACTACGTCGATGGTGACACATATGTTAGTAAAACCTCTCTACAATGTTAAACCAGTCATCTAAACAGGATTTAAAACCTGAAGGGTAGCATAAAGTAAAGTGAATTTATCACGTTACTGTTTATTCGTACAGAACCGAAATGCAACAATATCCATTACAAAAACAGCATGCGCATCAAAAATGAAACAACAAAGTCCCCCCAGAAAGAAGGCAAAAAAAAACCCCAGCAGACCAGAAAAAACAATTTCGGGAAGGGAGAAAAAGGACGAAAAATGCGACGCGAATAATTGCAAAATAGCAACGCAAATAGGAAGGAAACGGACGCGACCATAAAAAGGCGACAAAATGATGTGGTTTAGACACTTTGACTGAAAGAAACCTATCTTTATGTAAATAGATAAAAGATAGAGCATAAAAAGGTCGGTATATAGCCAAATTTTTAGAGAAATTGATTCACCCAATTTCTTCGTAGAGGTTTTTATAGATTTTTCACGAAAAACACGTTTTGTACTATCGAATTTGCTTGTCAGTGGATTGAAATTGACTTAAAAAGATTGGAAATTGAAGAATAAACTGGGAAATTGAAGAATAAACTAGGAAATTGAAGAATAAACTGGGAAATTGAACAGTTGTGAACTTTTTATTTAGAGAAAATCATAGTTTAATTGATGGATTTGTTATTTTTCAATGAAAGTATGAAAAAGAATGAAAAGAATTGTTCATTAACGTAATAGATTTGATTTCAAACTTTCGAAAACGATTGTAATCTATGGGTTAAGAAGATTTTCAATAGAGCATTTTACAGTAATTTGTTTATGACTGAAAACTGAAAGAAAGAAAGAAAGAACTGAAAGAACTGAAAGAACTGAAAGAACTGAAAGAACTGAAAGAACTGAAAGAACTGAAAGAACTGAAAGAACTGAAAGCTTTAGGAGCCAGCTGTGGACTTCTCCGAGCAGTACCAAGATGAGTTGATTCGCGAGACTCATAAAGCGTTCGACGTTCTCCGCGCAAAAAAAGTGATTGGCGGAGAGATGATCTGGAATTTCGCTGATTTCATGACCGGAATGAGTGAGTGAAAAAAGCAAAATCTAATGCTTTTAACACTTTCTTTAACACTTTTAACACTTTAATGACTTTCTTTAGGGGTTATTTATGCTTAAATTTGTAAACCCATCCTTTCTGGTGCATTCAAAGAGATCATTAGATCATTGAAGAGATCATTAGACCTTTGAAGAGATCATTAGACCATTGAAGATATCATTAGACCATTGAAGATATCATTAGACCATTGAAGAGATCATTAAATCTCTTCAAAAACATCCAATAAGATTATAAGCTTTTATAAGATTCTTAAAATCAAATATTTTAGCCACAACACGAGCCGTCGGCAATCATAAAGGTGTCTTCACGCGAACGAGACAGCCAAAAATCGCCGCCTACACTCTCAGGTTACTCATAAATATATTATTACATTATTGTTTATATTAGATGTATATTTTAAGTCTATTTATGTTATATCTAAACATTATAGTTAGCTTCACTTTCCAGGAAACGCTATTTGGGCCTCTTGCAGCAATAGCAGCAGCAGCTCTTGCAGCAACTCTTCAATTGCTCCTCTCAACTCCGCCAACTTTAATCAAAAGGCTTTACTTTTTAAATTCTTTCAGTTTCAGATATATTTGATTGTAATTTAAAGTTTTATAAATAAACTTTCATAGATTTATATCTAAAGGCATTCAAAAATGATCGAAAAATGACCGAAAAATGCCATTTAACAGCTCAGATCAGATCAGATGTGTTCAAAAATGGCTTGCTAAAAGTTACTATTTTTTCTGGATTGAAAAACTGAACAAGATACAGTACTGGACAATGAAATATCATATTTGAAAAACGATCGTCACTTTCGCGCCTCTGTAACTCCCTTGTCTTTGAGTTTAAACTATTAGTGTTATACATTTTCTGAAAGCTCTTTTCAAGGGCTACACAATGGTAATATTAATATTTAGAAATATGATATTTTTTGACGCATTTCAGCGCGCACAAGATGGGATACTCAAAATTGTTGATTTTCAAAGCCGTTTTTCTTTATGATAGAGTGCTGGAATCGCTCTGAAACTATGATTTTCGGAATCTACGCAAAAATTTACCTTAGAATCATCAATATTTGTAAAATTTTATCACAGTTTCATAGCGAAAAAAACCATATTTGCGAAATTCTCACTTCTTGAGCGGTCAAGCGAGGAAGAAGCTGGAAAACAAATATTTAACAAAATTGTAGTTAAATTAAAAAGTAACAAAAACAGTAACAATAATGAGAAAACCCCAGAGCACACAATGGGCTTTCAGTATTTAGTAGCAAATTCTTTAGCGTCGATTACAGCTTGACATCGCCGAGGCATTGAATCAAGAAGATTAGTGATGAAGCTGACGGCGATTGAATCCCAAGCCTGCTCCAATTGTGCAAACCTCTCATCGGCATTGCCGGCTTTGAGATTCTTAGTTCGTCGCTCAAGTTTCGACTTTTCGAACTTTAGATCGTTATAGAAATCTGGAGATGGTTGACTGAGAGACGGTAAACTGTTCCGATAACTGGTTCTGGCTAAGACCTTGCTTTTTGCCGTTAAGGATTGCTGGTTGTGTAAGCACATGAAGATCCTTGCATCCTCGTTGCTTTTCCATTGCTCCTAAAAACAGTAATTATTATCATTTTACCCAAGGCAAAGAAAGAAAAACATTCAAAGTTGCACGCAACACAATTTTTGTGAAGAACCGCTCAAGAAGTGAGAATTTCGCAAATATGGTTTTTTTCGCTATGAAACTGTGATAAAATTTTACAAATATTGATGATTCTAAGGTAAATTTTTGCGTAGATTCCGAAAATCATAGTTTCAGAGCGATTCCAGCACTCTATCATAAAGAAAAACGGCTTTGAAAATCAACAATTTTGAGTATCCCATCTTGTGCGCGCTGAAATGCGTCAAAAAATACCATATTTCTAAATATTAATATTACCATTGTGTAGCCCTTGAAAAGAGCTTTCAGAAAATGTATAACACTAATAGTTTAAACTCAAAGACAAGGAAGTTACAGACGCGCGAAAGTGACGATCGTTTTTCAAATATGATATTTCATTGTCCAGTACTGTAGGTCTCGTTTAGGATAGGTCTCGTTTTGAAATTCTACTTTAAGTTGCCGACCTTCTCTAGTGTCTGGAATAGAAAGGGGAACCGAATTGGAACCGAATGGGCACTGATAGGTAGCCGAGTCAGAATCGAAAGGGAACACGGGGCACTGATAGGTAGCCGAGTCAGAATCGAAAGAGAACCGAATGGGCACTGATAGGTAGCCGAGTCAGAATCGAAAGGGAACCGAACCCGAACCGGGGGAGTAGAGAGCCTAACCGTAGCCTAACGTGGATGAAGCACTGTAAGCTATGGATAAAGTACCGTAATCTATGAATAAAGTACTGTAATCTGTGGAGAAAGTTACCGTAATCTTTTCAATTGGATAACAGATAAAGTTACCGTAACCTAAATGAATTATCGTAGCCTTTTTCTCGGTGCAAATTGGTCGTTAACTTTCACGTCAACTTTGAAGGCTCATAACTTTCTCCAGAGATCGAAACCGAATCGGAGCCGAAAGGGAACCGAGTCAGAACCGAATGGTCACTGATAGGTAACGAATCTACTGGGCACACAGTAATCCACCGGTGACTTGTTCCTCTCTTCAACAATCCTTCCAGAAACCACAATGTGACGTCTTTCTGTAATTTGGCTTGTAAACAAGATATATGTGCATTCTAGAGCGCTTCAATTTCTTTGCATTTATGTTTCAGCTTTTAAACTTACTACTAGGCATACAGGAATCCCCCACTTCCACTTCTTCTTTTCATTAATAATCCAATAAACTAGACATATCAGAGTACTTACTACAGTAAATCTTTCCATAGCTTTGTTTTTATTATCAAACTTCAACTAAATCTCTTACAGTAATCCGCAGTAATTTGAATTGTAAACTAGAAATATCAAAGTTCATTCTAGTTCATTCTAGAGTCATTTCAAACAGGGATTCACTTGAAATCTTTTTATGTTTGCTTCTTCTGAGTATCAAATCGTAATCTAAACATATCAGAGTACATTCTACAGTAAACCGAATCCATTGATAGCTTTGTTTCAGCAATCAAACATTCGATCAATCTCATACAGTCTTTACAAGTCTTGTCGCGCATCTTATCAGCTCTGAACCTCAATTATAGCAACTTTTTAGAAAAGTAGCTGCGAAAAGTAGAAAAGTATCTAATTTATTTCAAAAGTGGCAAGTGTTAAATAGAAAATTGTAGCTTTCAGCAATATTTATCGACCAAAAACCTCCCGATTGAACTTCTACAATTCATTTAATAAGCACTTGAATGAGCTCTGGGCGATGTGATTCTTAATGTTATTAAGTGATGCTAAACACGTTTTTTGCATTGAAGAAATAGTGAAAAGCTTTTTTAACAATTTTTAATAGAGAAAAGCGGTCAAATGACAGATTCGTCGAAGAGATTTCGACTAGCGCTCATTCAAACGCTTGTTAAATGAGTTATAGAAGTCCAATCGGGAGGTTTTTGATAGATAAATGTTGCCGAGAATTAGGGCTACAAGTCTCTATATAAAACTTGCCACTTTTGAAATAAATTACACATTTCCCAGCTGGTTTTCGAAAAAGTTGTTGATGTGAGAGAGTGTCGTAACTGCAAAGCCAGATTTTGAGAGATTTTTGGTGTTGGACATGTTGAAAGTGGATAGTTTGAAGGAATTTTTTTTCCACTTTTAGGCATCTACCGAGTTGTGGCCACGAATTCTGCCGGAAGCACGCATGACAAGGGAAATGCGACAGTGAAAAGAGCACCAATAACACTTGTTGCTTTTGTCGTTGTCACTATAATTCGTTATAAAAGTTGTGGCGATAATTTGGGTGTTATAGACCAGGGTCTTGTTCTAGACAAGTATTTTGTTCTTTATCCAGCTCAATATTCCCAATCGAATGCTTAATTTCAAGCCTATTTCAAGCCTTTCCTTCCGGAAAGAAAAGGGTAAAAAGGATGAAATTTGAAATCTAGGTTCTCTAAACAGGCAAAAAGGGGAAAAGACAGGTAAAGGTGGAAAAAGAGGGGTAAATTTGGGGAAAAGAAATGGAGAAAGGAATGGAGAAAGGAATGGAGAAAAGAAATGGAGAAAGGGTGAGACTGTGGAATGGGGGTAAAAGAGGCTGGGGGAGGAGCGTTCGACCAAGATGGACGGGGCTGCGGGCTCCCTTGCCCCCAATCTTTTCCCATCCTCGAGACACACAAATCTTTTCAAATCTACCCCATTTGCCCTTCCCTTTTTGATCTGCCATTTTCCACCAATTTCCAATTTCCATTCAACAATCTCAACAACATGCAGCGACGAGCCGTCGCCCTCGCCCTACGCACTGCTGGCGATAATAGCGCTGAGAATTTGGTTTGTTTTAACCCTAGTAGTTGATCCTTGGGCTTGATCTAGGGTTTGCTCTTGATTCTACAATTTGTTCGGATTAAGTTGAGGGGCACAATAGCTCAATAAGTGACACAATAGCTCAATAAGTGATCCAATAGCTCAATAAGTGACACAATAGCTCAATAAGTGATCCAATAGCTCAATAAGTGACACAATAGCTCAATTGCTCAATTTGCTGATTTGCTGATTTTGCGATTTTGCGATTGAAACCTTTCCCTAACGGGATCAGTTTTGTTAGATCAATTTTTAATTGTAAAATCATTGATCTTTCTGTTCTTGAGCTTGAGTTGAGAGTGATTTTGACCAATAACAATAACAATATTGTTTTGACAGCAATTTTGACAATCTATTATTTATAAAAGAATAGTGTCCGTCTGTCTGTCTCTCGATTCGTTTGTACAGGCTTTTTCTCAGCCGTGTTTAGACCAATAAAGCTAAAACTTCTTTAAAAAACCGTAGAATATATTGTAGTTGTGTTATTTAAAATAAAAAATTCGAAAATCAAAATTGAGTGGCAGTCCGGGGAGTCGAACCCGGCTCATTTGGGCCGTAGACAAGCGCGCTCCTGACTGCGCCATCACGACCGGAAACAACAGAAAAACCCGCTGTTAGGCGGGTTTTTCTCGGTGGTGTTTTTGATATAAATGCAAGCTGTCTTTTGTAACTTTGTAACTAACTAAAGGCTAAACTAAACTAACTAAAGGCTCTGACTCCAAAACTATCAATAGATTTATATGCAGTTTATAACGAAACTAGATAAATCGTGTTTTTCCAGGGAAGTGACGGCTCTCGTTTGGTGGAGATCGGTGTAAGCGATGGGCAATCACATTTGATATTGCCGGTGGTTGAGGGAAATTCACATTTGGGTGACCTATTCAGACAAATTGAGATCGCCGCCGGGCCTGGAGCGCTACTTGTTTGTAGGGGACCGTGCGAGTTGAGACAGGTGAGTGGAAAAGGCGAAAAGTTGTAAGCTGAAGGTTGTAAGCTGAAGATTCTTGCTAACAAAAAGGTTGTAAGCTGAAGATAAAAGTTGTAAGCTAAAGATTCTTGCTAA